TTGTTGTTATATACTAGTATTTATATAATATACTGGGACTCTCATCTAATTTTTATTTGTCCGGATTATTTTAATTTGAAATTTCAATACTATCCTTTTAACGACTAAACTATATATTTTGCTCAATTTTGAAAAGTGACATTTTATCATTTTAAATAATGTTTCAGGATTATATTCTTCTTTGATCATAACGCTATAGATCCCGTCATGCAAAAAATGTACAATTTACGGCTCAAATTTTTTTTGTGCACTGTTGCACACAGGTACTTGTGGACAGGAACCACCCCCCCCCCCCCCGGGATAAAATATCAACCCCGGGGCTTGTCGGACATTTCTTCACAAATTATATTTACTACACTTATTTATTAAGAATACAACAGGGAAAATCGGAAAACTAGAAAATAAATAGTTCCATACAAAAATAGCTTACTATATACATTATAAGAGAGATTGTTTGCTCTCTTTATAGCATTTATGCAAATGTTCATTGTGCAGCGTGCTTGCATGAGTTTGCTTGTTTGTTCTTCTCTGCATCCCGCAGTGGGATTCGAACCCGCGATGTAAGGACCAATTCCTTAGTCTGCGACTCTAGAGCATACGCTCTAACCACTGTGCCAAAACGTAAAATCTTTTTTAAGATTAAATCTGTTATTTTATATTGCCCAGATTTCAGGATCCCCCTCCTCCTGGAAACTCCCATCACTGACCATCGGGTACTACCCTTGTCCCGTCTTGGACTAGGAATGCCCAGCACCCTTGCCTCACTAAAAATTTGAGCCTAGTTATGGCCTTGACTTTGTACAGTAGAGGAAGATCAAAAGCAAGATCAACTCATCCAAACAGGATGAGAGAAATAGGCAGACAACCAATACCACCAATAGATGTTACATATTGCTTTCAACATTCGAACATCTTCACAAATTCCTTTTCCAAAATATGTAGAATCAAATTATTCAACGAGCCACAGCAGCGAACCAAAAAAACTCAGGAAAGACAGAAGCGAAACTACGATTTAAAAGTGAGACTTGCTATTCTAGAAAAAGGAGACAGTTTTGGTAAAGATTACAAGTTTGATGGAAAGCATAAACTAGCTGAGATGTGGGAATCAACACCATGCATTTAAATAGATCAACCAAATTTGATGCCCAGCATGGGACATTGATGCTGATGGCACCACCTATAGGAACCACCATCAATCCCACATACATTTCACAGTCAATGGTGGATCAAAGCCTTCAATGAACATTTCTACAGCCGTTGTGTTTTTGCTACAGACTGTCAGGTCGTAACATACACACCTGTGTCACACCTGACTGAGATTTGTTCAGAAGAAACTGCACTAGTGTAAAAGCCTGTGTTACAATTTTTACGAACTAGTCTACAAAGTCTAAAAACCAGTTCGTCAGCTTTAAATTCTCTAATATGCCTCTTTCATCCATACAATTATCTAATTATTAGTATATGAAAAATGAAAATACATGTATTAGTATGAAATAAGAGTGTCAAAAGGTCAACTTACTGTCAGTGGTCTATGGATTTCTCCTATAAGAACAACAACTTTATACACTGTCTTCTCCTGGGTTAGTATTAGATGGCAGATCTCGGCCAAAGGGGGTTAGAGGTTTTGGCGGGAAGATATTGACCAATGGCTATATTTACTTATTATCTATTAAGAGTTGAAAGTGAAGTTTTAGTTAATTTTAGAACTCTTTAGTGACTCTAGACTTTAATCAATAGAGAAAGTTGTTAAAAATTTATTTACAATGTATCTGTTTCAATATTTCGTTAAAACATATTTATTTTAGATCAAGTTTATTATTGAAAATCATTTCAATATATGCAATATATAGTAGTGTAATTTTGTATGGAACGATTATTTTCCATTTTTTGGATTTTTTTTTTTGTGGTATACATAATATTTAAGTATAATAAATATAATTTATAAAAAAATATCCAACAAGCCCCGGGTTGATATTTTATCGGGGGCGGGGGGGGGGGGGGTCTTGTCTACAAGTACCTGTGGCGAGGACTACATAAATGTTGCCTATGAGTTTTGCAAAATTTTATTTTTTTTAAAGAAATAACTGACTTTTTTCAGTTCCATAACAATTGCAGCTATTTTGGATAAATAAACACCATAAATTTAAATTGACATTTACATATCAACCTCTCCCAGCAAGTCACAATAAATAGCTAGTCTTCTGTTGGGGGGGGGGGGGGGAGGGGGGTCTCAGTATATGATACCTTCACCCGATATCATTAACTCGTTTTAAAAGATGTTTTTCACTGTCCTGTGCGGTTCTAGCCTAGGCTGTGGAGAAGGGGACGGGTGTGTCTGCTCGGTCTGTCTGTATTTCTGTCTGTCTGTACCACTTTCGTTTACACGCGATATCTCAAGAATTTGAGTCTTAAGCTTTTGTATTTTTGTTTTGTATAAAAATTTGACAATGTAGAACGTTATTTCATGGTGTTTTTTTTCGATTAACTAAATGATAGAATTTCGCACATGAAATAAAGAAGTTATGACGTATGACGTGTACAAACTTACTAGATCTCATAAAATTTTTATAAATTGTGATAAAAATCTTTATATAAAGATAATCTTCTGTACACATTTAAAAGAAAAAACTATCAAATCTATAAATTCATATAAGCATTTTTTATATTTACCCCTGTACTTCAGAACATACATTTAATAATTCTGCAAATGGGGGGCGGGGGTTCCCCCACCTGAGCATACTCATTTTTCCTTAATTAAGCGGGAGCATAAATTCTCTGAATCATCTTATGTCAGGGTACATTGCACTTTTGGTTCGCTTTCCCACGAACTATACGTCCTTAAAAACACACGATGGAGGCTATGTAAGTACTTATTTCTATGAAGTTATGGTGAAAACTATTTTCTATCCGAATATTACTCGTACTAATGGTGCCCACATGAAAAAGAAGATGAAATTGATAATTTAAAAAGTCGATGCATCGTCCAGGAGGAGATAAATATATTTATACTGATAGTTCGATGGAAATTAATATCCACCACCACTATGCACTTTACAAATCTGCAACAAAAATAATTTAATCGGGTGAGAATGAATGGTAAATATGGGAATATTCCTTGTATGTAAACAACTTCATATAACTCTTTACAGCTCACGGGTATATAGGTTAAAAAACTGTGATCCTTGCCTTCAGTTGACAAATCTCTTGCTGTAAAGAAATGTCTGGTAATGTCTTATATTGTGGGGGGAATATAAGAGGGGGGATGCATTATAAGTTGGATTATGTACACAGTACGGGTAGGTTGGAAGAGACCCGGGATCAGCTTAATGTTTTCAGGAAAAAATAGTCTGATACTTTGGCAAATAAGTATAGGAATACATGGTTTTGTGTATAGGAAGGAAGCTGGTACATAATACTCGTAAGTAGTAAAATACATCTGGATTCAGTGTAAAATTTATACATAAAAAAAATCAGTTATTACATGGCTGTCAAATCATTGGACACGGGGGGATTCAAACATTTGTTAGAAACAAAATAGATGCATGGATTGATATACTAAGTATCGCGTTTGGGATTGATGTATCAAAATCTTAACATACTACTGATAAATAATTGTAGATTTTCTATATGGTCCAAATTTCAAACTTTCGGCAATTCCCTATATTTAAAAAAAAAAAAAACCACTTAGGATTGCGCTGAGATCCATTGAATAGGGAAAAAAAACGTTATGTGGTTTTAGTAATACACGTATGTATCTCTTCTTTTTATACAACTGTTTAGAGGATTTTTATTGAAAAAAGTTGCCATGGTTTCGAATATGTCAGGTTCCGAATTCAAATGATCCATTGGTTGTCAGGAGAGTGTGAGTAAAAGTCAGAGAGTTATACATTAGAATTAGAAATGGTATAGATACCCGTAAATGTGGAATTTCGAAGCAGAAGATACTGTTAATAGCGTATTATAATTAAAGCTTTTAAAAATCATTATCAAAGATTATATCTTAATTCATCTTCTAAATATAAATAAAACTGAAGTCTAAATCCAGTGAATTTTCAGTTATTTTCAGCCATGACATTCTGACATCCTACATTTGAGTAAAATGCACACTTGCACGTAACAAATAATTTTATGTACATGTATTTGGTCATCAAACGCAAAGTACAAACATATAAACAATTTACTTTTGCCGAGTTTCGACATCAAAATTCCATTCAGATAATGTGACATTTGCAATACTGGCGCACCATCTGCCGTCATTATATGGCAATTTTGAGCCCAAATGTGAAGGGCTGCAATAAATGATTTTTCTTTTAATCTCTATAAATTTAACCCTATATATGGACTGATTATTGTTATGAATAGTCGTCTAATTTGTGGATGGTATCTTTACTTCTACCTAATTACATGTGTGTGCATTATGATACTCATTTAAAAACTACGTGGTGAAAATCAATTGTTCCCAGACTGTATGTATGGGATAAAAGTTTGACATTTTGGAGAAGCTAAGGTACTGACCATGCAGCTTACAAGAGTAGAGTAGGTACATTATTTACAAATTTTTGAAAAATGCAAACTTTGGAATTGTAATTTATTTTGTTAAAAAGGGCACACTGTACCCGGTATTTACTGATATCATGTTCAGTATTCTCAAATATGTACTAGTACACTGTATGATCATTTGATCAAACAAGTTATGTTCTATATAGAAAACTTTTGATATTTCTTATGCAATATATGTAATAATTAATTTTCATACTCAAATTTTTAGTAATAAGTAATATCAAAATTTTGATAAAGAACAGAAATATCCTGATTTAATGTTTTTAAAAAATGCAGATTATAAATTACGCACGTGATGCGAAGGTTATCCCGTCTGATTTGATGAAGAAGAATGGGTTACATTGTGTTTTCTTTGTGAGAGAAGACTGAATTATCGGAAGTTAACAATTTTACTTACTCTTTTATATAGGAGCAGCACGACAAACGCCTTGTCAGTCTGAACTTCTCTGGACTCAATCACTTACAGTCATTCTGGTCAAGATGTTTAAGGTAGCAGTGACCATCGCCATTGTTGTTGGTTTTATTGGATGCTGTTTGGGAATTACTGGATCCAATCAAACGATAACTCGGGCTAATAAAGAAAGGATCTTTTATTTATCGACTATTTTCCAAAGTATTCCAAAAACCATGAAACAATTACTTTGGCTAATGTCAGTAAACTGATGGTCAACCTGGGACTCCCAGCAACTTCAGATAAAGCGCCCTCTGCCGCCGTGGCTGGTGCTAAAGAGAATGAGACCCACTGCCATGACGAGGAGACCGGATGTTCATTTCTACCCACCAACAAAGAGTCCGCCAAAAATAGTCCGACCAAGCGGTCCTTGCCTGCAGACAATACTCATTATAGCCACAGTAAGGTAATTGCATTGATTGAATTGTGAATCTATTTCTGAAATGTTTCATAACGAATTTAAAAGGCTCTTAAGGCCACTTGTTACAAAATAAACTTTTTTCAATCTTCTTTAAAGTCACAAAATTTGATATTTGTATAAAATAATATTCTTTCTTCGCTTAGTGTTTGAACACTATGGAGTTGATGATGGTCTACCACTTTCAAGATAAAATGGCGATAAGCAAGGACGAATTCATGGATTTATGTCCAAGTCTGATTGTTCTTTTGGACAAAGATGAATGCAAGAAAAACACGACACTTTCCATGAGTCATAAGGAATTACATGACGAAGAGTAATGGACCTTGGCATCCATTCCAGCTAGTGGTAAGGCAGCTCCGTCAAGCAAGGTTGTAGAGACATTTTTCAAAAGAACCTATTATATACTAGTATACCAGCTTTATTTAGGAAATCAAACATGTAACAAGAACGATATTCACATATATTTCCATTTGAATTTTTTTTTTCTCGGTGATAACTCTTTGAAAGTTAGCGGAGTTGATATTTTGATAATTCTACCGGAATGTAAATTAGGCAGGTCGATAGGTCAGGAGCTAAGGAGGCCTAATATGCATGCAAATCTCGTGCGCATCTGTCTCTGTGTCTGACGCTAAAAAGGCCAAATATGCATGTAAATCTCGTGCGGCTGCCTTTGTATTTGACGTCAGTGGGCGAGGAGTCCTCGTGTAATTAAAATCTATGTCTACATTTTCAAAAAACTAAATCTACAATTTTATTTCACAATGAAATGAAAATATAAAGGAATCACTGTCTAGTTAGTATAGTGTGCCAGGGACATCAACCATATAGTGGGAAACATGGGGTAATTTATGCAAAACAGCTTCGCCCGTTATGCAAATTATCCCATGTTCCCACTATCGTTGATGCCCTGGCATTCTGTATTAACTAGAAAGTGATTCCTTAATTCACCCATCGCAACAGATACACCTAGATAGGTATTTATCGTAGCTATATCGCGAATAACGTTTTGCAGTACAGAGTAATTTAACGTTTAGCACTAGAACAACACTCTAAAAAAAGTTTTACTTGTTGTTTTTAAAATAAGATATTAGATTGAGAAAAACTAGTAATTATTAGTAATCCATTTAGTCAGAATAGCAAGTAAATGACTATCATGGTTAGTAATTGTAAACATAATTAGTAATAAGGATGAATTCATTTACTTATAAAATGATTTACTAAGTATCAATAGAGTTACTTAAATTATAGGAATTGTATTACTTTAGTTAGTAAATGAACTACTCATTTTTGTTAAATTATTATTACTTAATTCAGAGATAATATGCTTTCTATTTACTAAATTTTATGAATTATTACTAAGTAAATGTAATTCTGAAATTAATTAAAATCTAGAATATTACTGTAAACCAAGTATTATACGCGTGCGATAAATATCCGCGAGTTCCGCGAGTAACCTCTGCTCGCGGATATTTATCGTCGCGAACCAGTTGTTCAATATATTCCAATATCATGATTTATTTAGAGTTATTTCCCCTTTTTTTCAATACCGATCCCGACGGTTCAACAAGTAATCACGGAAAAACTTTACTGTTAGTGTACAAGAAGCAGTTGAAATTTAATTACAAACATTCAGAAAAAATAAAAACGAATGGCAAATCTAAAACTATTTGTCTAAAAATGATTAAAATGTCAATAATCATTTCAGCTTGTGTTATTATTCTCTTATAAACATTGTTACAGACGAGTCAGAGATAGCCTGGTTAATTACGGCTAATTATGGCCCAGTCCTGCTCTGTCCCAACCATTTATAATAATTGCCCCTTGGCTGTGTAGATCTTAGAAAGCGTCGATTACCCAATTAGTATGAGGCACTTTTACAATTGAGAGTTTGAAATCAATTTTAATCTCCTAGATTTTCCCCCGATTTTCGTTTGAGCGTTGTGAAAATGCGTATGAAGTATACTCATGGTAAACATTTTATCTACTGTAGGGGCGGATATAAGATTTTAAATGGCGCAATGCACAGAATGTCTTGAATAATGCGTAAGCAGACCTCACGCTATCATTTTACCTAGTTTATGGGCGGATATAAAATTTTTATTTGATTAAAAAATACTCGTGGAAATAAAAAAAATGTGACCACTCGTTCGCGGAAATAAATCGTCGCGGATAAGTTCTCTGGCGGTCAGTCGCGAATAAAAAATGACGCGTATAATAATTGGTTTACAGTATTACTTAAAAGAATACTAAGTAAATGAAATACTTATCATATTTACTAAAATCGACATTATTTACTAGAAACACTGCAAGCACCCCCCTCTACATGTGAGTACTACTTACAGATTTCTTTATCAGAGTTCCCTAATTGGGCCCTCTGAATGGTTAAATAGAAGAAATCTACTTATGATGGAAACAATTATACTTTCCATTTCTTTTGCCAATTTCTTTGTAACTGTTTTATTATATATAACAATAAAACATTTGATTCCAACTTCGAAAGCCTTAAAAATTGAATAAGTTGTATCTTCTTAAGGACCATTTTAAAAATGGTTAAACATTTCAAGTACTTAATATCGCATTTTTATTAGTGTGACTTTTTTTTCACATGAAGGTATATTTAGATGAAAGATAACTCCTCCTCACAGACAATTAGTGATAAGACTACCATATTTAAGTAATTACTGATCTGAATTCTCCTTGATTTAGTAAATAAATTTTTGTTTTAAGTAAATCAATTAAATACAATTCAAACATGCAAGATGTGTTTGTGAAACACCTATGCCACTGTATGGCAACATAGCAAAGGTTAAACTTTTCTTAAATGCAAATTTAATTATTGGGATTTCTTGATATCTCCAAGGTCAAAAGGTCAAGGTTATTGGTATCTAATGAAAGGTCTTGCTACAAAAAAATACATATGTGAAATATGGAAACACTTGCCTCAACCCTTCAGAAGTTATGGTCAAGGTTACCAATTTTGAAATGTAGGTCAAACTCCAAGGTCAAGGACAAAGGGACAGAGTTGGTGGTACCCAAAGAAAGGTCTTGTCACAAGGATGAACTATGTTAAGTATGAATGCACTAACCCTAATCCTTTTAAAGTTACAGTCAAGGTTTGCTTTTTAAAAGTGGGTCAAACTCCAAGGTCAAGGTCAAAGTTCTTGGTATCCTATAAATGGTCTTCTCAAAATGATTACATATATGTAAGTATGAAAGCACTTTTCCTTACCGTTAAAAAGTTATGGCCAAGGTTAAAGTTTTTTCACAAGGATGGAAATCTCCAGGGTCAAGGTCAAAATTTCATAGTTGTTGGTATTCAATGAAAGTTCTTTCAACAAAAAATATATATGAGAAGTATAAATGTCCCGGTATTTACTGTTAAAAAGATTTGGATAAAGAATAAGTTTGAATTTTTTGTGTATAAGGTCTTGTCACAAGGAATACACGTGTGAAATATGAAAGTTATAGCTCCGCTAAATCAAAAGTTATGGGCAAGGTTAAAGTTTCTGCGGATAAACAGAGAATCAGGAGACAGCTAGATAGACAGACGGAAACGACAAAAACTATATACCCCCGAAACTTCGTTTACGGGGGCATTAAAATATTAATTATATAGTAAATAGTGGTAAAATGTAAGTATTAAAGACCAAGTAAAGTTATTACTTATATACACAAATTTAAGTAAATATAAATTACTAAGTAAAACTTTTTAGTGTGTAAGTAAAACAATTTTTTAAAATACAAAAATCAAGTAAAACATTTGAATCTAGTAATTGACATATATTTCAGTAATTGATTTTAAATTTTAAGTAAATGCTTACTAATTATCTATTACTTATCTTTGTTATTTCAAGTAAAAAATGACTACTAAGTAAAACTTTTTAAGAGTGAACCTACAGAAGACTCACTTTGAAATTAGTTTTACTTTACCTTTTTAAGGAGCCATGGATTTTTCAAAATGTTTTCACAGAACACGTGTTTCATAACAACTTTGTCAGGCATCATTACCTTTTTAGTTTGGGGATACAGCTCCTTGGCAATTTTGATCATCAGTTTGGTCGGCCTTCTTGGAGTGGCAGTTATTCCCATCATGCAACGCGTGTTTTACAACCACCTGTTGCAGTTCCTCGTGGCGCTGGCAGTTGGCGCCCTCTCTGGTGACGCAATGCTCCATCTTATTCCTCATGTGAGTTTTCCAACCATTATTTTTACACATGTTTGCGAAGAAG